TCTATTTCTGCTCTGAACTTTATTTCCTTCCTTCTAACTTTGGGCTTTGTTTTTTTTTTTTTTTAAGATTTTATTTATTTGAGAGAGAGAGAATGAGAGAGAGCACACATGAGAGGGTCAGAGGGAGAAGCAGACTCCCCGCTGAGCAGGGAGCCCGATGCGGGACTCCATCCCGGGACTCCAGGATCATGATCTGAGCTGAAGGCAGTCGCTTAACCAACTGAGCCACCCAGGTGTTCTGGCTTAGTTTGTTTTCTTTCTAGTTCTTGAGGTTAGATTGTTTACTTGATGTCTTTCTATTAATATATGCACTCATCACTATAAATGTCTCCCTAAGAACTGCTGTTGCAGTATCCCATAGGTTTGGCTGTGTTGCATTTCTATTTTCACTCTTTTGAGATTTTTTTAAATTTCCCCTTTGATTTCTTCTTTGGCACACTGACTCTCCAAGAGTGTGTTCTTTAGTTCCCATGTGACTGTAAATTGTCCAGCTTTTTCTTATTGATTTCTAGTTTTATCCCATTGTGGTCAGGAAAGAAGTGATTTCAGTCTCCTTAAATTTGTTAAGACTTCTTTTGTGGCCTGTCCTATGATCTATCCTGGAGAATGTTCACTGTGCACTTGAGAAGAATGTGTATTCTGCTGCTGTTGGCTAGAATGTTCTGTAAATGTCTGTTAGATCTGTTTGGTCTAATGTATGATTCAAGTCCAAGGTTTCCTTGCTAATTTTCTGCCTGGATGATCTGTCCATTAGTGAAAGTGGAGTGTTGAAGTTCCTATTATTATTGTATTGTTGTCTGTTTCTCTCTTCAGATCGGTTATTATGTGCTTAATATATGTAGCTGATGTTGGGTGCATATATATTATATACTTTCTTGATGGATTGACCCCTTTATTATATAATGACCTTTTTATCTCTTGGTACTGTTTTTGGTGTCATCCATTTTGTCCAATGGAAGTATAGCTACCCCCACTTTCTTTTGTGTACCATATTTTGTTTCTTCATTTAAACCAGTGGTGAGCATTGGGTTCTTTCCATTTTTTTGTCTATTGTGAATAATGCTGCCATGAACATTCATGTAACAAATTATCTGCTGAAGTAGTGAGGATTTCATTCTTTATTACAAATCTGTCCATTAAGCAGTGAGAAAGTTGCTTCATTGGAAAACCCCAACTCAGGATCTTGAATGGGGGGAAAAGTCTTCTAGTCATATTTTCTAAGAAACTGAAAATCTGCTTTGTTTTCTTGCATTGAGATGTTATTTTAGATGTTCATACTATATTAGATCTTATCACCATCTAATATGTTATGTATTGCTTGTTTGTTTTAATCTACCTTCAACCCTTTCCACCCCCACCCCCTCCAGAATGTAAATTCCAGAAGGACATGGATTTGAGGAACAGTTTTGTCCTGCTGTATCGCTGGTGCTTAGAACTGTGCATACTACACAGTGGGTAGTCAGTAAGATCTGTTGAATGCATGAATGAATGGTGCTTAAATGTTACCCAGCTTTATGTTTTCCTAGATAGCATTTTAAAAGGTTCTATATTTAGCTTCTTTTGAACATCTCAGTATTATTGGTTTTCCTGGGGTAGAGCATTCTAGTGCAAAATGTCTGTGTTATAGACCTTATAAATGGTTGGAAACAAGGTACGAAAAATGATTATGTTGTATTGGGAAAGGAAAGAAGATAGAGATGGATTAGACAAATTATATACATGGAATTTTGTCCCCCTCTAATTTGACTGTAGTGTCCTCAAAGTGATAACATGCAGAACATCAGAGACACTTGAACATTGATAACCCAGACTTCGGAAGAAATAATACAAAGTCATTTAACCTTAACAGTGGAGGGTTAAATGATCCAACTGTCATCAAAAACACTGAAACAAACTAAGTCATCCCTTTCTTAAATGAGAACACTCCATTGTTTTCTGCTCAATGCAACTATTTATTGCTTTGTACTAGTCAGTCTAGGTACTGCCTTAGCAGAGTCTCAGGCTCTGTCTTTGAGATACAAATTAGAGTTTTTTAAAAAAAGCAGGAACTTTGCAACATTACTGTAAAGTAGGGAACCTGGTCCTTTTTCTCTTGTTAAGCAAGGAAACTTGATTCTGAGAGGTAGGATGATGTCCGGAAGTATTTTTTAGCCTCTGTCTTTGTTGGAGTCATTTTCCTTGTCATGGATTTTAGTAAGGATATAATCTCAGTTCCAGTTAGAAAAGGAGATCACAATGCCAGGTGTCAAATCCACATATCAATCCTCTCCTTAATTGCTGAAGTTTGACACGTCCCTATGTTTGTCTCAGAAAACTGAAAACGTTCTTTTCTTAGCAATGGGGACTTAAATTTCCTATGTAGACAAATTAACTTCTAAATTATAAGAGAAACAAATAAAAACACCACGAGAAGGTGGGGGGGGGTCACTTCTTCCACTTAAAGCTTTCTTCAAGTAATTTCTCATTCCCTTCTCCATATTTTCCACAGCTTGCTTGCTTTCCTTCCCTTCCTTTCTCTTCTTTCTTTCTTCTCTTTTTTTCTTACTTTAGAACTCACTATCTAGTTAGTACCTTTTCTGAAGAGTAAATTTTTAGTCAGAAACTCTTAAAAAAATATCTTAGAATCCGAATTAAAGTGGAAGAGGTCAACCAGACTGTTGAAATAAAGAGTGTTTTTAAGCCATGTAGCTATTATGTTTGGGCAATTCTTGAAACAGGGAGGGTGGAAACTCTTCAGAAAGATTTAAAACTTTTTAAGTATTTTTAAAAAATAAAATGTGAATTAGTTTAGAATAATAAAGACTAACAGAATAAGGAAGGAAAAGAAAAGAATATATTTTGTGGATAAGCCAAATTCATGGCCTTGTGCGCTAAATTTTATACTCTAAAACCTACCTGACGGGGCCTTACTCTTGTGATTGCAAACCCTGGTTTTTCAGCCCCACCCCCACCCCCAGGCTTGTCTCTAGTTATCTTAGAAGTGACAAAATAACCACCAAAGAAGCTTAATTTTTATTATCTCCATCTTTTTTTTTTTTTGATGGAAAAGGGGATGAGGCAGAGAAGACCAAATTGTGAAGAAAGGTAAAGATTATTACAGCCCTCTAGGTCTTCAGCTGACAAGTGAAAACACCTTGCACGTAATGCAGAGGAAAAACTGTCCATTTGACCTCATTTTCATTCACACTGTTCCTAACGCCCGGGAAAGACCAGATGTCTGGTTTCTAGAGTATTGGGCTTTTCCCTAGTAAAATTTATTTTTTGAAGTTTGGAGAAAAACTGCAGCTCCTTCTGACCTTGGTGTTTTATAGTTTAATAATTTCATATACTAAAAGTGTTCCAGCATAAAAAGAGCTTTGAGTATTTATGCATTTGCAGTAATCCAAGAAAGGCTGTGCAAAGAAAATCTTGAAATGACCTTTATTTTGAAAATCTTGTTATTATAAAAACCCCAAAAATAAATTCATCGTTTTCATGAATAAGAGGTACAATGTAGCATATGGTAAAGGCACTGAATTAGTGGGGTGGGGGACGGGCGGGTAGTATGAGTAGATGACCTTTCTTTTTCCTTGTTGATTCCTACTAAGAGCAATACAAAATATACATTAGATATGATATTTCTTTCCTCCTTACAGAAAACAATAGTTGGAAATTTCTATGTAAAGCTAATTTGCCATGAGGAATATAAAGCCCTTTAATGGGGTATCTAGGTCCCTATGGAAATTTTTTTTTAAACATACACCATGTGGTGCAATCTGTTACAGTCTACAAGGAGGGAAGGGGGGGAAGCTCCGTGGGGGCCAGGAATAAAGTCATCTGTGGGAGTTTTTGAGGTATTCACTAGTAATGGGGGAAATGGTACAGCTAAAGCCTAGAAGTGACATCGCTTCTGCCCTAAGTCGTAACCCAGAGTATATTAAATGTATGTTCTTTTTAGAAACTATTTAGCAAGTTAGACAAATTAGGGGAGAAAAAAACAACCTTTTCTGAGATGGTTAAACTGCTATTCATTTTGTATTTTAATCTAATCTACTGGTGATTTAATTTACAGAACTCAAAGGAAGTGTGCACTCAAATATTTGAGGATGTTAACGTATCAACCACTGTTTAATTTTGGAATGTGCCTACTTGCTTGACACAATATTTTACCATCTCAACAAATGTTTAGCCTTTTTTTCACTTGACTAAAGAGAAATAAGTTTCACATCGCTTCATTCACCTTCTTATGTGCATATGCTGGGAAAGATTGGATGTTAAAAAAAAAAAAACTTCCTCATGTTCCTTTCTACTACATCTAAATCTGTTTACCAATTCAAAGCTGCTAAAAAGCCCTGTATTCTCCTGCTAAATCAACTGGATGGCTAGAAACCAAACTGTGATGTAACAGGAAAAAAAAAATTATCAATTTATTTTCATGTCAGAACATTCTTGAGAAGGTATAAATTGTTCTGGTCTCTATGCCAGTTTTCTTTTTTCTTCCTTTCTGTCTTCCTTTTTTTTTTTTTTTTTTTAAGGCTTTCAGCTTTTAAGCCGATACTTTTTATAGTTCCATAACAGTTCTAATATTTTGTGACATTTTGTATTGTGACACTATAGATGAAATTGTCATCGGACTGACACTCTGTGCGGTTTATTCTTTAATTACAACTGTTAACACTGTAGAGAAGTGCGCTAATCTGCCAGCGCATATTATGAAAACAACGTTATTGTTACCCACACCAACACCCACTCAACAGGGTATTTCCAAGATGGTAGTTTAAAGGAACTTATCAGCACAATGGACGTTTCAATATAGTTTTTTAAATTTATTTTTAAATTTTTAAAAAAGATTTATTTATTTGAGAGAGCGAGAATGAGAGAGAGACAGTACATGAGAGGGGGGAGGGTCAGAGGGAGAAACAGGCTCCTTGCCGAGCAGGGAGCCCGATGCGGGACTCGATCCCGGGACTCCGGGATCATGACCTGAGCCGAAGGCAGTCGCTTAACCAACTGAGCCACCCAGGCGCCTGTTGTTGTTGTTTTTTTTTTTAAAAGCTTGTCCTACTGTCTTCATGTAAAAATACACACCAGTTTGAAATTTTTAAACTCTTGAATTGTAATGAACATAGACTCCCCTTACTAGCAGGAGCTGCCTCTATAATCAGAAAAATTGAAAAAAAAAAAAAAATCTTTTTGAGTGCTCCAGCAGTGGAGGACTGAGGAACCGCAAAGCTTTCTGATAGTTGTTTCAGAAATAATGAAAACAGGAGAGGGAAGGGCAAGTTTCAAGATGAAAAGATGAGAGGAGTTACTTGCATTCACAGGGTTGGTAGTCCTTAAATAACCAAGTCAAAATCCAATAACCATTCCCAGCTCTAATAGGTGACCTTTTCAGGACTAGTCTGAGCCCCCCTGAAACTGGCTACTTCTTGAATGCTTTGTAGTTTAGTTCTTTCCTCCAGAACCTTCAGAGGTTTGATTTTCTATGCGGGACAAAATCCCATGAATCCATTGTCTAATAAATACTATACTGAAGCAGTTAAGGACCTCTATTTTTTCCATTTGTTAAAAGGGCCAACAGCCACTTGGATCCTGTGCTGAACCCAATCCCCATAAAAAAATAACCAAAACAATTCTAGAAAATGTAAAATCAGAACAACCAGTATTCACTGTTTAGATGAGAATGACAATAAATGATTTTTTAAAAAAAATGACACACACAACACTTATTTAGCGACTTACTTAATAAACAGTCCACTTTTCAATATTAGCTCTTAACACTTCCATGGGATTGGCAGAAAGCAAATTTGTGACCCTGAAGTAATAGTAGGTCTCAAAGTGATAGAACCTGAGACTTGTCAGCCGATTCTCCTATCTTCATGTCATTGAGGAGGTATTGGGACAATATGAACATATTCGATTCCTAAGGTACCCAGAATGACCCACATATTCTTTAATATTCAGCTGTACTAAACAGGTTTTTTTGAAAAGAGTATGTGAAGATGTTATCACTGCGCCTCATTCTGAACGGTATTTTCTGCTTCATTTTCATTTTCAACACCGATAGGATATGGTGCTCTTCCTAAAAGAAACTGTTCCCATTTGGGAATATATTCTTCTACTGATGCCCAGTAAAGAGTCTGGAAAAAAAACAACATCCAAAAGTAAAAAAGCATATCAAGCAATTGAACTTGGCTCTTCATAATAGTCTAAATGTTTATTCACTGAAGTGTGTGTGTGCGTGTACATACACACATATACGTAGAATGCACTTCCTCTACAGAATATTTTATGTTAATTTTAGAAAGAAATCTGGCTACTTACTAGTGTTAATTTTCAAATTTCTCAGTAAAACCAGAGCCTGGCAGAATTACAGGTTATGGGATTTTATTGTGATTTTACACGCCCTCTTGTGGCCAACCGTGTGATTATTACCGGTGGTATCATTTATGGCTACAATCATTAAATGTTTTTGTTTTTACTCTTCCAAATTCCATACCAAGTGATTACCCATACTAAAATTATTATAATGAAATGATTAGACATGAACGACTGCTTTTTAACTGACGTAAAAAGATTTCACCTGGGATAAGATGAGGAAATGAAACATAACCAGTATGTTATAGTACAGGGTTCAGGTAAATTGACTCCTTAATTATATGGGGAAAAACACTTAAAATATGCATCCACTATATCTATTAGAAGAGTACTCGATATGGTAAAATGTCATTTCTTCCCAATTTTTTTTTCTCTTTTTGGTATACGGAGAAAATAATACTAGTATCATGTAATCATTTTTAATTCCGGTAACTCGGAAGTGGAGACACTGTTATTATTGGCCTGACACGAGCAAGTCTATAAGCTATAAAAGCTCAGGCAAGATCACCATATAATATCTACAAGCTTTGATGTTTTTTTGGGTGACTGCCCTAAGGAGGCCAAAGAAAAGTAAACTGCCAAAAGCTCTGTATCCTAGGAGGGCATTTTAGATTGTATCATCACTATCAATCTCATTTTGGGGAATTCAGCCAAAGAATTACATGGCATTAAGAGCACGTAAGGATTCACTTTGCACATTAACAAGGCACAGGAGTTCTGAAAGTTGAAATTGTGAGTTCTACATATCTGCCCATCTGTGCATGTGGTCTGAGAAATAGCCTGACACACTTAAAACAGAGGTCATCCTGCTGTGCAAGACTAGCTGAGAAAAATACCAACCAAGGCCTGTGGTTGGGAGTTTCTCCACCATTCACGGCTGGATTAACCCCTATTGTGTGGGCCCCGTATAGGCCAGAGTAAGGTATTGGAGAATTCAACAAAGAAAAAGACATGCCCAGGGCACAACTTTGTACCACTGTTCTTTCTATCCTTGATCACTGGCTTTCCTTATTACTCTAGATGACACAGAAAATTGAAGGGCAAATTCTCAGCCTTTAATTTTGAGTCTATTCAACATCCCTGCTTAGGCAGCAAGCAAAACTGTATTTGAAAAAGGTCATTAAGAATATAAAATTAAACTGTTCTATATGTAGTAAATTTTCTTTCATCACAGATATATTCATATACCAAATAGGGTTTATTTTTGCCAACAGTCTTCCCAATCTGTTCTTGAACTGAGCAAAATAAAACAGACAAAAGCCACACTATGCTGCATGATAATATGCATTTAAATAGCTTTGGTTGAAATTTGGTGAAGGGACCGAACTGCTAACATTAGCCAACAGGAAAAGCACTTTGGTTAGGCATGCTGTCATCTTAAGATTTAGTGCATACTGTCTACTGTCCGTTAGGGTTTAACAAGATAGGTGTTTCTAGATGAAAAGATAGAGGATTTTATAAAATTTTCACTTGATAAATTTTTAAAAATCAAGATGCTTCTCAATTACCTGCTGTGTAAAAAGCACAGCACTGTGGACATGGAAGGATCAATCAGACGCATCTTATTTTATATTTATATTATATAGTATATAATATATATATATTTTATATTTAATAAATAAGTGGGAAATACACATAACCACAATTAATTTATAACGTACTACTAACAGAATGGGGTCTCTCCTATACATTTGTTCTTTAAGATTCTCACCTCAAGAGAAACCACCTCTGGTGATGGAATTGGGTGAATCCGGGTCTGTAGAGACTTTTCTGCTGCTTCTATATCCTATAATAGGTATCAGTGTTTTAGAAACAAAATGTATTTACGTAACACATACAAATGGCACCTGTAATAGCAATGTCTATATCCCAAATCTCAACTCTTCTCTGGATATACAGTCTGAACTGAAGGAAGGTCATTGAAATAGGAGGACTGATCATTACTTAATCAGTTTCAATAGAGAAAGCAGCGTTTCTTGTTTTAAAATAAAAAGTGGGGGTGGGGTGTGTAGGACTTTCAAGATCTTTCTTTTCATTTAAAATAGTAAATGCTAATAATTCTGGCAAAAAGGACTTTCTTCCAAAACTGCTCAGGACACTAACTTAGCTCTAAGATCATTAAAAACAGCCAGATGGATAAAATGGTCAAATATTCAGATACTAAAAACAGTCAGATAGTCAGCCCCACACTGAGCTAACCTTACAAGTGAAGAGTTCTAGTCCAGATCATGCAAATGGTGTATTAGTGTCACACATTTCATCTGTTCAGTATTCTATTTTTTAATTTTATGCTTATGCAAATCCTCCACATACTCAAAAGAAAGTCAGTGAGGTACCTCAGTACTTTGGGACAAGAACCTTTTCACTGGACTCTAGGTTTTTGGGACTCAATTTCTGGGGCATTCTCGATGGCCAGCTTTATGGCTGGGTTGTACCTCATTCAGCTGATGACATTTAAGGCCTGTGCTTTAATCTGTAGTGTGACTTGTGGGTGTGTGCATTTTCTCTTACGGTTGTAGAAATGCAGGGGTAATTACACTTAAATTACACTTAATGCTTACCCGGGTAAAAACGTAACCTCGATATGTAGATGAAGTACAGGCCCAGAAATGTAGGACTCTCTAAGTTGTTAGTGAAACACTGGAGCTCTGTTTCATGCTCCCCAAATTGGCACCTATGTTGTCTAGTGCTTGCTTATGTTTGTCAAGTTCACAGAGGCCTTGGCTGGAGGCCGTGTAAATTTTGTCTCTCCTTTGAGCTCAGTGAGTTGATCAAAAAGAGAAAGTTCTCTGATCCATGTACAAGCATTGGAGCAATCTAAGTACAGGGCTGTTGGACAGACGGAGAGAGATGGAAAAGGACGTGGGAGTGGGGTGTGAAGAATCCAATGCTGAACAGGAGAAAAGAGCGAGCAGATGGCAGTGGCGGGAGCAAGGAATGGGTGTGAAATGTAAAAGGGAAAAACAGGAAATTCCCTAAAGGGACTCCCCAAAGTTGCACAACCATTAATGCACCTGCTGTCTTGAAGGTGATTTGAAGGGGAAAACCGTCAATTTAGGGATAAAAAGCCCATCTATTAGCAACGTCTATTCCCTACCAGAAGTTTACGGCCAAGACGCACGCTAAAGAGCTTTTGATGCCAATGCTACAACAGATAGCGAAGATTAACTCTTCTGTGATTGCACTGAGATTTTACAAGGTCCTGGGAAAGATTATTTTTTACTCTCATAAACCAAGCAAACAACAGACTCACGACTCCACTGACATCATTATAAGAACAGTGGTACATTTATTGCTGGTGGTAGATCTAGGTACCACTGGCACCTGCAGACGAGATGATAAACACTTCTCTTAAAGACCAGAAAATAAGGCTATTGGCTCCCTCTCCCAGAAGAGCAGATTTGCAGTGGAAGAGTAGGTACGAGCAGGGAGCTGGGGCCTGGTAAAACAGGCCTGTGGTTAGTAACTTGACAGTCATCGCTACAGCCTGTCGGCAAGGGATTATCACCCCTCCAAGGGAACTTCTTTCGTAAGTGAGATTTTACTTTCTTCGATGTTTTGCTTACCTCTCTGACTCCTACTTCTCTCTCTCCTTAGCTGGCTCCTTTTTCTCTTCTTAATCCTAAGTGTGGGCTTTCTAAGATTTGTGACATCTGTCCTCCTCTTTTTACTTTTTCTCTTTCCAAGACTGTCTCTTATCTAGCTTCAGCTATTCATTGTAGAGGGATGGGTAACTTTTCTTCCCGGCCCTTATTTCTCAACCTAATAAAACTAAACTCCCCGTATTCCTCCTGAGGGTTCTGAACGTACAGCAGTCGGAGTTCTACTCCCGCAGACACCTACGCTTGTATCTTCTACCTTCAGGTGTTCTTTCTCCCTAACACTTAAAACTTCGAAAGGTCCGCAGACGATTCCCGCAGGACGTCCTCGCTAGCCTGTCCATGCCATTCTCAGTGCTGGGGTCTTATTATCACACTCACTGGTTCAACAGATATGTACTTGGACTGCGTCTCATTTTACTTCCACCACATATGGAATTGATTAGTTTTTCTAAAATTACTACTTTAAATATGTCTTTACACAGATTAAAAAAAAGAGACCCACTACACAGAGGATAAAGTATGAATTCCTTAGCCTGACTGAAAAATCTCTGCCTTCTGTGGCGAGTCATATCCCATTACTTCCAATTAGGAACCTTCTGTTTGACTATATGCTGCCAGAAGGTACGGACTGTCTCATACAATCTTTAAGCATCCGAGAATCTAACAAAGTGCAGGGTATGTACCAAACACTTAAATAGTCATTATATACACAAATGACTGAGGTGTCAAAAGTTTCCGGAGTATAAATGAAAAAACTTAAAAAAAAAAATTACCCAAGGGGGTGAGGGGAGAAAAGAAAAGCAGATGAAGCGAGGCCAGGCTCACCTGACTGGACCTTGTTATCTTGTCTTCTAGATCTGCCGCCAGGCCGTTTAAAAATGTATACTGTTACAGAACAAATGAAAAAAGCAATCCCTAAAAATTAAAAACAAAAGGAAACAGATCTAACTGCCATCTAGTTGGTGGCATAACCACATCAAGAAAAAGTACATCAGGTGGTCTTAGAACACAGTATTTTGACTGAGCATCTGTAGTGAGATCTACCCCAAGGACAAAAAGCGTCATGGAAAGTATCTGACTGAAAGCCATACTCAGTAATCATATTGTTGCTGGCAGTGCTGTCTCTATCGTGGGATAAAGTAAATGAGTAGTTATGTTAGCACTGGAAAATGATTTAGGAACTGAGATTTTTGGTTTGAGGGGGGAAAAAGAGGTAAAAGATTGATGATTTTAAGTTAAAAGTCTTACAGTCATGTAATCAAATGGAATTATTGATAGGAGCTCTTGATGAATTTTGTCTTTAAAAACGAGTTGTAATAAACATCCCTAGAGCCCACATTAAGGGCTCTAAACATATATTCCCATCAAAAGGATCCAGGGCTCCTTGGAGCAATGGCCAATTCTAGGTCTAAGCAGCAAATGATGGCCTGGAAGATATCACAGAGTTAGAAAGAAAGAAAACGATCAAAGCATGCTAAGATCATGTCAGAGGCATTCAGGAGCTAACATGGGGGCTCCCACTTGGTAAAAATGGGACAATTTGAGCATCACTGGGAATACAAATTGAAGTGGGTCGAGATCTTTCAAATCACAGACGTATTTAAGAGCATCAACATCTAATTGGTCACTTCTGGAGGATACTAGAGAACCAACCTATTTTTGGAAAATTAAGTACAGAGAAAGAATCAAGCACTGATCATGCTTTTTCCTATATTTCATATTTCAAATGTAACTATTAAAAGTTAGTAAATATTTTATGTTTTTTTCCGAATAATTGATGAGGGGACGTTTATCTTCTTATAAATTATCAGCAATTGAATGAGAAGGAACAGAGGAATTTGAATATCACTTTTTGCGACCCTTAATGAACATATCTAGGCCATGATCATCAGTGACTGCTAACATTCCAGAAAGAGAGACAACCAGGCATTACAAAGTGTTCTTTCCCAAAACATTGAACCTGAATCTGATCAGGCCTCTAGATCTGCACTGTTAATGTAATATCCATTAGGCTCAGTGGCTGCTGAGCGCTTGAAATGTGGTAAGTCCGAATTGAGCCCTGTAAATGTAAAATACACACTGAATTTTGAAGGCTCAGTGAGGAAAAAAACATAAAATATTTACTAACTTTTAATAGTTACATTTGAAATATGAAATTAATTTTAATACATTTCATTTAATCTGTGTCTTTTAACTTTATTAAAAGTGGCTACTAGGGGGGTGCCTGGCTGGCTCAGTTGGGAGGAGCATGGGATGCTTGATCTTGGGGTCATGAGTTCGAGCCCCACGCTGGGTGTAGAGGTTACTTAAATAAAAACTTAAAAAGTTGTTACTAGAAACTTAAAATTACTTGTATTATGTTTCTGTTGCCTAACACAACTTCTATCAATTTATGGGAATTACAGGGAACAAAGGAACCTACTAAGTGATACCTCAGCAATGTAATTAGTAATATTCAGAGTGTGGGAAACTAGGAGAAATGAGCCAATTCCTTCAACAAATTAAAAGGGGGTTAAAAAAAAAAAAGGCAGAGGGAACTTTAGAGATTTGAGAGACCTATCAATCAATTACGCACTAGACTTTATTTGGATCTGGATTCAAACAAATGTAAAAACAGGTTAATCAGGGAGATCTGAATCCTGACTGAAACTTTGAGGAATTATTGTTAATTTCTTAGACAGATCATGGTATTGCGATTGTACTCAAAATAGCCCTTATCTTTGGGTGAAAAACACTGATGAAAAAGACGTGATATTTACAGATTAAACAATGTGATGTCTGAAGATTAGCTTCAACATCATTTGACGGGCTGCAGGTGAAGGTGATGAGTGTAGATGAAACAAGATGGGCTGTGTTTTGAAAATTATTGAATCTGGGTGATAAGCACATGGAAGTACATTCTTCTGTTCCTCCTTCCACATAGGTTTGAAATATTTCGTAACAATTAAAAAACAAGTTTCCGGGATGAATGGTGATACAAATGTTACTCTATGGCAGGATGCAGCAGCCTCTGTAAATGAGTTGACTCGCAATTAGGAAAGGTAAACTATGAGCACAAAAAGTCATGTACTGAGATTTCTTTTTTTCCCCCTCCCTAGACATGTCCCTTCCTCCTAACCCAGCAATATATATCTTCCTATAAATACATACAGTGAAGCCAGCCATAGCTGGACTGGGTTTAATCTTTTAATCTGCTGAAGGGACGATTTCTGGGATTGAAAAAAGAAGATCCTAAAGCATGAGATACAGGGTCCTTGCTTCAAGGAACCCTTATGCATTCATTAAACTCGCTCTTCACTGAACTGGAGAAAGGAGTGTGAGGAGGAAAGAGGAGAGGCTGGGTCCTGTACGTCACTGGCCCTGGGGGTGGGGTGGAGGGGTGCCTTGTTGAAGGCTGTCACTGTCAGCTTCCCCAAGAAGGCCTCCAGGACACGCCGTTAGGTCTAATCTGCTGTGGCACACTCCCATTCGTTCTCACCCTGGAATGTTTGTCCAGCTTCCTCATGAGGTGATGCTCACTACCACAAGACTGCCTTTTTGGGTTAAACTAAATTTTACTGGTTGGGGGTGGGTGGGATGGGGAAAGAGGTCGAATAGATGACAGTTTACCTCATGGAAGTATTTATAGAAACAAAATTCTTTCTCTTCCAAATCTGTACCAATCATGTTTTTAAAAGGCAGACACATTTTATTTTATTAATGTAATAGGGAAGCTAGCAGAAACTAACAATCCATTATCATCTGTGATATTTACTGACTAAACCCTCAATTTGAGTTTTCCTCACTACTTAAATTCATGTCCATTCTTTTACTATTATGCTTGAACCTTTGGGATTAGTCTTTTTGTTATTGTTCCCATCTTTAAAACATTCTTTTATTTTTCCAAATATATTTAGAGAAATTTTGTTGTGTTAGATGCAGATTTTGGTGGGGCTATTTTTAAATCTAAAAATAACACTGTGACTACTGATTTTAGAAAAATAATAGTTTCCCCATCAGGATTAAGGCATGTGTCTCCATTTAAATTTTAAATCTCCCATTGAAGTTAAGAATTATCTCTATACCAATCATGCATATTCCTTGTTTAGAGCATTCCCAAGTATTTTATAATTTCATTGCTAATGTGAATGTGATTTCATATTTTCCATTTGTATATACAGGATTGTTATAGATTTTTGAATGGTTACGTTTTATCTGTTAATTTTACTCAACTCATGATATACTAGTTTTAAACAACTTTGGCTTTGCTAAGTATATGGCCTCATCAGTTAAAAATACTAGGGTTATGTCTTTCCAAAAATTAAAGCTCACTCCATGTTAGTGTTTCTTATATTAGAGCATCTAAATAAGGTCAAATAATGGATGGTAATAGAGCTTATACTTATTTTGTTAGTATCTTTATAGGAATGTTTCCAAGTTGCAGTGGAACCATTTTTAAAGTGTATTCTGTACCTAAGTACATATCTTGATGTGACTGAACCTGTTCTCGACAGGGAGGGGGTATTAAGAGTAGTCACTTTATGGTTTCCTCTTCTCTAAATTAGGAGATCAGCGCAGTCAGCGGTTTTCACCATCCCTTAGATCACAACAGAACAGGCAAGGAGGGGCTGAATGGATGGGCCTTTGGCCAAAGCAGGTCCACTTTGACCTATTTTAAATCTTTGAAAAAAACTTTTTATGTTTAAAAAAAAAATTAAAGCCTTAAGTGAAAATCTAATCTATGTGCTTTTTAAAGTTTCTCCCACCTGAAAATTCTGTGATCAAGTCCTATTTAGGTCACTTTCATTATAACCTCTATGGTAGAGCCCTTAAAATTAGTTCCAAAGTTTAAAACAAAATAATAAGAGGAAAAAAGCAGGATTAAAAAATTGGCATATACAAATATTCAAAGTATGTTTAAAAAAAAAGGGAAGAGACTGCATGTCTTATAAGCAAGCACTGTATCTGGGATATAAGAGCTCAGGAAATGCTTACTAAAAGACTAAAGGGAAATATACAAAAACATTAATTTCAAGCTGGGTGGGATGATATGGAAAGTATGCTATTTCATCTTTTTGGCTCTTTCTACCTTTTTACAGTGAGACTATATTACTTTTATAATCTGGGGAAAAAACACCATCCAAACTTGTTTCTAATGACTATGAAACTAGGTTCATTATCTTCCTTCCAGATATGGCAATGATTTCTTAGCTATTCTCCTTAAATCTAATCTCTCCATTCTGCAAATCACATTGCATCTAAATAGGAAGTGAATCTTTCTTAAATACCCATATGCTTCTTATATAAGTCTCTATTTTTCTTTTGCTCTAACACTTTTAGTACTGTATTATCCCTATATATCAGGTCTCAACTTCTTCAGTTGGTCTCACAAAACATATCCAACCTTGTTTCCCATAACTTTACAAGCTAGTTAGCTCAGGGTCCCATGGACACTAACAGGGCTACTCATTCTTCTGGTCTTGATTCTTCTGTAAGAATGCAGTGGAATATTTTGCATTCTGCCTATTCAAATACAGCTCCAGCTTAGTTTCCCTTCTCAGACTTGTTAGGATATTCTAGCTTTCGGTGATTTTTTTTTTTTTATACGTACTTCTAAAGTGCTAAGGATTCCACATAACTTAATGTTTGATCAACTAAGGTCTCATGTTGTGTGTGACAACCTTATGTCATCAGTTAAGCCTGTTAGCTATTTGATGTAAAGAACTCTGAATTATTTTGTTAACTCCACTCTCTGCTCTGAACTAGCTCGGTAGTAAGGCCCCTCTGGGCTTTCACCAAATACTTGCTCACTAAAAGGAAGATAATTGAAAAATCCAAATAGTACCTGTACTTGTTGCAGGTAAGTAGCGATCAAGCCTTCAAGGCTTCTAATTTAGTTTTTCTGACTTGTCACAGCAAATTCCAGATTATCCTATATATTTCCATTTAAAAATAAATATTGCAAACACCATTGGGCAAGTAAGACATATGGCAACATAGAATGCTTTGGTAGCACTATGGCTGTGACTTAAATTACTGTGGATCAAACTGCCAGAAGCTGAGAAGATAACTGAATTTTCCTCTTCCTTTATCCTTTAGTGACTACATAAGATAACTATATCATGCCTATCGATGAAAATATTTAACAATAAAAAACTGAAAACACTGCTTTATAACTTAAATAATATAGCCTTCCTCCCAAATGTTTTAGTCATAGGATCTCTTGGAAGCTTGAATGGAAGCAAACTTTAGGGTTTTAATTATGGATGAAGCCATACAATTCTGGAAGCAAAGTATAGCAAGCAGCCAAAAATGTTACACATATGATTTTACTCCAAATGGGCACATTGGCCAAATGGTGGGGCCCTGCGCAATCACATACTTTGACCACCTCCTCCATCACTATCAAGAGAGATCTGGGAAATCTGTTATCTTAGATATGAATTCTGCGTGCTGACTGTGGCCCCAGTAGGGCAAAATCAAATTGTTCTTGTTTTTATGATGTTAAATAGTTTTGAGTTGGATCTAAAAACATTATAGGTACTTCATAGGGTTTTAGGATCTCCCTATAAATAAAAGATGATGGAAGATGGAAAGTTACATCTTGTATTTATTACTTCTTGCACAAAGGTGACCTTTAAATTTCTTCTATGGTCATTGGTTCTTCTGGTTGATTAAAAACACTTAAGTTAAACAAACTTCCTTTTATTTTTCATTTAAAAAAGAATCCATATGCAATGTATCCAACTAACATGGGTTTGAAAACTAGATGGTACTTCATTAATTGTATTTATTACTCAAAACAAAGTATATATATCAAAATTATGAAATTCACTTAAAACCTTTTTTTGCAAAGGTGGGAAGAAAATCTTTATACTTAAGTCAAGGAAACTTACCATTAAAAGACCAAGGTTCCTTTTAAAAGCAGTCTCAGCTGCTTGCATCTGAGATGCCTTTTCCTTGTTTTTGTCTATAAATTTATTCTCCATTTGTTGAAGTAACATTACTCGTTGTGATACTCTAGAAAAAAATGAAGATTATATAAAGTTTTTCTTAAAAGGGTACATTTTTTGCTTCACTAACAAAAAAATTTGTTTCTTAATTGTACCTCACTTCAAGTTCAACCTATATTGAAAACCAATTATTATGTCCATTAATAAGACAGTGGAAAACTTAGATAGTTCAATAAGTCTTAAATCTGGGTAAAATTATTCTTATTTTCATTAACATATCTATCGTTAAGTACATGCTTCTGTTTTTTTAGCCTCTATGGTCTTTGCAATTATTTTAGAGTGTTAAAAACATGTTTTAATTTTTGGTGAAAATGCAAACTGTAATACATATCCCTTTGTACACATACTTATATATACCTCCCCACACACATACATTGATATAACTTGCTATACGAAACCTTCTGCTTAACACTTCAATACCCCTGAATCTCATGTTACACATTTAGAATTGCGCTAAACTTCCATATGTTTGAAGAAGCAATAAAAATATTTTTTTCCTCTTTTTCCAAGAGAAAGATGATGGTTCCATATATGAGTGAGAGGCTGTGTGTATGTATGCATACTCACAACAAGGTGAAACAGTAATTGAAGAAAGATGTAAAAAGTTGTAATTAAATTATCAAACTACTTTGTTATATATAATATACTTTAAAAATTTCTCATTGGTCAAATGCTCATTTTACAAGTTTTTTTGGTCCCCTTAAATGATGGATTAAAAAAATGTCAGACGATAAAAAAAACACATGTGGTATATATAACAGTCTAACCACTTTCCAGATAGTTGTGGAGATTCTTAAGAAATGCTATGTTTCAGAGGGCTGTTCTTGAGAGTAGCATTAAAATTGAGTAATTTCAACATTTTTATAAGGGCAAGATCTTAGAAAGCCAAGGAAGAGGGCCTGGTAATTAATTAAAGGAAAACATGAGAGCCCACAGAAAGAGGTAGAGAAGGTTAATATCAAGTATAAGTGCAGGATTTGTTATGTAATTTGCAAGGCCTAATGCAAAGTGAAAATGTGGGGCTCCTTTAAAAAAAAAACTATTAGAAATTTCAGGACAGCAACATTAGAGCATTAAACCAAGTACAGGGACTGTGAGTACATAGGCCTCATACTCATGGAGCCTGCCCTGGGTAAGAGGTATACAGAAGTCCATTAAATATCAGTGAGAAACCTAGAAAGGTGAGAAGGGTGAATTTATCTAGATAATAGTAAGAATTGTAAGAGAACATGACTATACCTTTTAATCTTTGTTATTAAGAGACAGTGACATTCCCTAACACCAAAATCTCTCAAGTGTCAGAAAATTCAAATGACGCACTTCCAGACTTAAGTCTTCTGTGCACACAATATTTCACTAACAAAGCCGGTACAATTTATTCATTTAGATAAGCCTTAAAAAAAAAAACTTACATTTCTTCATGTCTTTTAGACAGGCGAATTTCTTGAGCAAACAAGGACGTCATCTTTAGTCAAAGCTGCCTTATAAGCTTTCTGCTAAATAATAAAAACATTTAAAGTTAATGTTCTCAGCTTTACAGCAGTTGATTGTTTTATTACCTCAACCCACTGGTTCTCTCAGAAGAGAAAAATAAAAATTGAGATATAATGATGTATAAAATGAAAGAATGCATTTAAAACCATTTTTATTTATGATGCAGTTTTCCATATGCCAGACGCAGCCAAAAACACCATGAATCAGGTAAACTCAACATATTTCACATTTCCTCCTAACTTCCTCACACTTTAACCTTAATTTGCATTGAAAACAAACAAGCAGCTGGTACTAAGACTAGTAAACATTTTATTGAATCAACAGAAAGAAAAAAATCCACTCTGTAAAATTCAACACAGGAATACCATCCCTTATGCATGTGCACACACACATAGAAAGGCAAACAAGTATAAGAACCAACTGGAAACTCATGGTCTTTCCTTTATTGGAAGACTGCCCAGTTCTACCATCTCTTTTCCAAATAAAGTATTTTTCATGTGTAACTGGCGGGGAAAAGCCCAGCTGGTCTCTTCACCTTACCCTGGGTGCTCAGGACTTCCATTTGGGGAGTTTAGGGAAGCCCATTTTAACGGCACATGAGCAAGCTCACCTTGACTGAAGAGCTTGGGCCAATACAGATAAAGATCAAGTGACGTGCTTTGAAGGCTCAGAGCCTGAAGGCAAATCATCTGGTTGCCTGCAAAAGCTGAAGGTGACTGTCCTAAGGGAGAAAAAACAGGAATGAAATTCTTTTCCTGAAGCGAAGCACTGGCTTTCCTAAATTTTATGATTTAAACACTGTCGCTAATCTCTGAGCGTCCAGCGCTGAGAGACTGAGCTCTTCCTTCATTGCACATACATGGAGGTGTAGGGCACTGAGCCCAGCCAAGGGCAAGGAAACACTGTCCTGCCCTCAAGGGGTTTCCTTCTAAAGGAAGCAATGTCTTGCGTTCAGCACCGAGGACAGCAATCGCTCGCCAAAGGATCTAGTTACAGATACTTATCCTCTAAGATCACTACGGACCAATCGTCACCGCCTTCCTCCCCCTTTCGAATGCAGCGTCAAGGAAATCTCGGAAAGTTAGTCCACGGTAACTTCTTTTTCCGTCACGCCCTCCATCAGCACTCCAGACAAACCCCAAGATAAATTCTGCCTTTCGAACCAAAGATCGCACGGTTTCAGAGTCCTCAACCCTGCAACCACTCCAACTCCCTGCTTATATCCAGAGGACTCACGACCTTTCCTCATCACCCCAGCTCTTCCCCCTCTAACAACATTCTCCTCAGCGGCCCTGCGAGCACCTGCGCTGCTCTCGGGCAGTCAGGGCGCCCACCGGCCGGCCGTAACGCGGTGGGACTTCACTCACCCAGTCGCACTCGGACCTTACCCGTAAAGGCGCCTGCTACGCTGGGTCCCAGCACAGGCCTGGGCGTGGTCACGCCACCATCTTTGCGCACGCGGGACGAGGTGACGCAATCACGTCGCTATAAAAGGCGGGCCTCTGGCGCGAAAGGTGACGGTGCTGCGCTCAGCGGAGAAATTCCCCAAGCGGTCGTTCCGAGCCCTACGAAAGTGCCTGGTGGTAGCTCAGTTTCGAGGCCTTTTAAACTGAGACCGGAATATGCTTTAGAGAGGGAAGCTAGAATGTCACAGAATATGGAAATAGGGAAAAATCCTTCAAAGTACTCCAGAGTGTTTGAATGGTCTGGACAGTCAGTAAAAGCTCCTTGCTTCAGAGAGCTTCACCCCGTTTGTCAGGTGCAGAGCAGAGGAGCAGAGCCCCTGCCCGCACCCCATAGGGACAGTAATATCGATCGTGGACGTTTTGAGGGGTTTGCGTGCGTCGCTGTGTTTAGGTGAATTACCTCAGCCCTTCCCCTACAACACCTGGTGACGTAGGTGCTATCATCCTCTTTTTTTTTTTTTAAAGATCCTTTTATATTTTTTATTTTTTTTATTGTGTTAATCATCCTACGTTACATTAGTTTTTTCCTTTAAATTTTTTATTGTTATGTTAATCACCATACATTACATCATTAGTTTTGGTTGTAGTGTTCCATGATTCATTGTTTGTGCATAACACCCAGTGCTCCACGCAGAACGTGCCCTCTTTAATACCCATCACCAGGCTAACCCATCCCCCCACGCCCCTCCCCTCTAGAACCCTCAGTTTGTTTTTCAGAGTCCATCCTCTCTCATGGTTCGTCTCCCCCTCTGATTTCCCCACCTTCATTTTTACTCTCCTGCTTTTTTTTTTTTTTTTTTTTTTAACATATATTGTATTATTTGTTTCAGAGGTACAGGTCTGTGCAGCACTCACTATAGCACATACCCTCCCCAATGTTTATCACCCAGCCACCCCATCCCTCCCACCCC